TATGGGAGGTATTCTATCGAGCAGAGAACTTAGGACTTTCGACGCCACTGATTTTTTTGTTAATAGTTATCTTACTCGTCTATTTCAGGTTTCTGGATATGCATGAGATACACGCTTTATATCTAAATTTGAAAAATGTTAAGGTAAGCACTCTCAATGAGTCATTTTTTAATCTTATCTATCTGCCATTTCGCTTGGCTCCAAGCGGTGTTCAAGACTCTTTCCTTTCTTATGTTTTTTGTTTATGTTTTGATGTTCTAATTCGGTGTATTTTCCTTGTTGTTCATAATTTACTTTTTTGAATGTTTTTTTACGATGAGATGCTAGGGTTGTAATAGTTGAATAGTGACAATCATCTCGTAGGTTATGAAAGTTATGATAATGAGGCATTTCAGTGTTTTCTATGCTACAATCTATATTTTTCTTCATTTCAGAAACTTGGTTACATCACATATCTCGCCCAGTTCGATAAGTTCACAGAAGTTCCAAGGAATACGACGAAGAAAACTGGAGCCTATGAGGAATATTTGAACACCCTCAAGGTACAACTACTTTTATTTTCCGCCAGTATCATGAACGAAGAAATAAGGGCACGTCCTGCCGTTGGAGGGGCATTTTGAAATAAGACCCTCAATATTTTCTCCTTTGGTACGACTCCTTGTTCATTCTAGCTACCATCATCCTGAATTTTTCCCAGTTCCTGCCACTTTCTCGAAGTTTTTCTTCCAAGAATTTTCCAATTTTTCCACGAAAAAGACTGTCGTTGGGGGAGGGGGAAGGAGAAAGGCACATGAAACTGGTAGGAAAACCGAGAAAAGTCAACATCGGAAAGCATTTTCCCTAGGGCGAATGCGACCAATGCTCCTCCCTCCTGCCATCAACTACACCCTCACGGGCTGGGGATTCCCAGCGTGCGACGTACTCTCGATAGGAAATATTAACGCCATACCAAGCTACTTTCAGGAGCTCTAATTCGAGGAAATTCAGCCTTTTCGTTCTGTCTGCGTATTTTGTCGCTATCAAAAGTTGTATAGCATATTCGTCATTTTATTCAATTTCATTCAAGGAATACCTCGTTTACTTTATGGAACGCACCCGACCTCTTCACAATCTCAAGGAGGACTTTGCCAAGGTCGGTTCATAATTGGATGAAGGGAAAAGCTGTTTTAAACTATTTTCTGTCATTTCTTAACAACACTTTAAAGAGTGACGCCGAGGTCGATCGCATGCTCGCAGAGGGAACGTTGCCGGGATGGCCAAAACAAAATGCACCCAAAGAGGTTCCTTTTTCCAAGCTTGATGTGGTGATTTATGCGTCAAATATAATATTCTAGGCTGCTATCGACGTATCTGCCTATAGCAGTCCATTGGAATTGGAAAGTTTAGGCCTTGACAGACTGAAAGCCGCTTTGATGGCTTTGGCTTGAAATGTGGAGGGTACAGTTTTTTCAATTCTTCAGTCTTTTCAGTCTTGGTTTCATGAATGAATGATGATGAATTTATACTAAGGCAGTGCGATAAATCTGAATTATCTACTATTTTTAGAACACTCAAAGAGCGTGCTGAGCGTCTATATGCATCGAAAGGATTGAGAGCTGGTGATTTAGGGAGAGACGCTTTGGCGAAGAAGACAGATGAAGCCAAGGAGCAGGCACGGACAGCGGCATTGGCGAGACTCGAAGGTCACATCAAGTGGTTGGTTCTTTGGACTCATTTCGAATTAATTTGTAGCAGGAGATTAGGTTTTCGTGTGTGGGTCATTAAGGGCATACGATATATCGACAAGGGGTGAATGGTGAATATGCCCAGCACGAAATATTAAGCGCTGCGTGGTAACTTTTCCCAACCAACCAAGGCGCCGTTGCGTCTAACCGACGTGTAAAATGCCGTCGGAGACTCCCATCGCAACGTCCGCCCACAAGTTGCCGCACAGCCACATCGATGCTCATACTCTTGCGGCTTCATTTACCGAGTCATTTGCTATGAAACGGCTCCAAGGCTGCATGGATATATGCTATCCAAGGCTGCATGGATATATGATTACAGCGGTTGTTGGCACGATGCCAACCAGAAACTCATCTAAATTCGTTTTCTATCAGCCGCGTACTCGTCCAGAGTCATGCAGAACACTGCCTTGCGTAGGTCTTTGACCGTTTCACTTCGCTTTGGCGTATTTCCTCACCATATTGCACCCTTGCTTCCATTTTAGTCCACGTACCAAATGAACGTGCCTTATGCTTTAAATTAAGCCAAGCGCGTGAACCAGCAAAGTATCAGCGGACTGAGTTGTCACTTCAAAGCTTTGTCAGTTCAAATCTCTTCGTCTTGGTGCAGTGTCGCCCAAGTGGTCCCGCTTCGAATGCCCCTTTCGTAAACCTCGCCCTAAAACGGAACTAACGGCGCATCTCCAAGGAAGGAAAGTGCGTTACGGCATGTGGATGACTACGGTAACCCTTGTAACCCTGGGCGCCACTCTTGTTTGTCAGATATGCCGTGATGTGTGAACAATCTCTTTTTCAGCATTGGCAATCTTCTGCTGGATGAGCGAGAAGCTACGCGCGAGAATGTAGAGAGGAAACAGGCGCGAACTGTCGGGGAAAATGAAGAGGATGATGAAGAGCCTCCGGTAAACTTTTTGATAATTACCGTTTCTCCATTTTTGTTTTCTAAGCTAGGGATTTTTTCAGGTTGAAAGCGACGAAGAGGAAAACGATGGCATACCCTATAACCCGAAAAATCTCCCTCTTGGGTAGGTTCAGTGTGCATTGTTCTTCGGCTTCAATGTCGATAACGGCTACCTCTTGCTGAGAACATTCAGTAAAGTCATGGTAACTTTCAGATGGGATGGAAAGCCGATTCCCTATTGGTTGTATAAGTTACATGGGCTGAAACATCTCATACTCATGCGAAATATGTGGTAATCAAGTGTACAAAGGGCCGAAAGCATTCCAGAAACATTTTAATGTGAGTTCGAGCTTCTTTATCTGAGTAATGTTATTTGAGCTTTACGGTTTTTTTAAATGTTCTTGCGTTTCACATATTCACTTTTGCTGGCAAATAATTTCCTTGGTATTGGGTTACGGCACATCGTTTAGGAATGGCGGCACTCCCATGGAATGCGATGTCTTGGCATTCCTAATACCGCTCATTTTGCGAATATAACCCAGATCAAGGATGCACTCGATTTATGGAATAAAATCAAAGGAGATAAGGTAAGAGCTTCCCCCTCATGTAGCTCGATCTTTGTTTGGGGGAGCTGTTTTTAATACTTTTGCCAGCATTGTGCCAAGAACAACTCGCCGCAAGACCGCATAACCAAACACTCGCTGGCGTGCAGTTGCTCAAAACGCCGATTCTCCTCAATCGAGAAATCGCTCAATCTCCGCAGTCTCCACATCGTTACCTTCCTCTCGCACAATCTCGCAAATCGCCGAATTTTTCAAATCGCAAAGTATGAACGCGACCCTATCAGGACACGTCTTACGCTGGGAACCTTCAGCGAAGGATCGTACTCAGCTGCTGGGGAGAGAGGGTCGTACTTGCCTGTTAGAAGAATGTTTCCAGTTGTTGAGTTTTTGTGGGTTTTCCTGTTTTTAGTGCGCTGTGCGCCCCTTCGCCCCCCCCCCCCCCTCGACGGCAGTTTTTTGAGGATTTTGTGATGGGCGAAACTCTGGAGATGCGCAGGAGAAATGGGGAATCAAGGAGTATGGTAGGTAAGATGGAGCACGGGAACACTTTTTGACATTGTGCGGCCCTTATATCGCGATTTTTGGCGACTTCTAAACAGTACAATAATGAGATATTTTGAAGGTATTATATTTTAATTGCATTAATGATGCTACGTACAGGAACGACAGAGGTGGAATCCCGACAACGATGAAG